CTTGCTTCTGAGTAGGCTGTTTTCACAGCTCTGTAGACATTCGTTCACTTACAGGAAATGAACAGCAATGCAAATAATTCCTCCCACTAAAGTGCAAATGGTCTCTCTCGGAATGCACCTGTTGTCCGGTAGATACTGACCGGCTTTTCCAGTTCTGCTTCTGCAAATTCATGTCAGTATTTCTAATCTGAAGATAGATGTGTCGTGGTTGGCATTCTCCTTTGACCTGGTTATAAGACATCCCTGGTTTCATGTAGATGGGTCAAATAAAATGCTTGACATTTGTTCTTTTATGTCGTAGAGAGTCATGATTTTGCCTTATTTCTTCCTTCAAACTCAAGAATTTGGTCCCCAAAGGCTTATTATGTCCATGGTCCCTCAAGGGTGGGAATTTCATCCAATCACGGTGCCTAGAGGTGAGGTCTTGGGGAAGTGAGTGGATTGGATTAAGTTGTTAGGGTTGAGCCCCCAAGACTGAATGCTGGTGGTTCTACAAGAGAGGTAGAGGCTGGAGTGCTCTTGGGTGCTCTGCACTGCCTTGAGACTCTGCCAGCAAGAAGCTCAGTACACGATAAGGCCCCTAGACCTTGGACTTCTAGAACTGTGAACCAAACTAAAGGTCTTTGTAAATAGGCTTCCTCAGGTGTTTTGTTATAGTAATGAAACCTGACTACTGCAAAGAGCAAGGGTGACATGGAAGGACATGGCCAAGGATGGAGCGTAGTTAGGTTCAGAGGAGCCTGACTAAAGTTTGGTCAAGGAGTGGGTCTTTGCAAAGGAATGGAGTGGGCCTGGAATAAGAGTGTGAGACTGAGTGGAGGGTTTTGAAAATGTTGATGACCAAAGAAGAGATTTTTCAGCTTGATTTACAAAAGCAGGAAGCAGAGCGAAAAGTAGGTCTGCTCTGAATCAATTTGATTTGTATCTTCTCTACCGAGGAAATTAGTCTCTGAAGGAGATGATGGAAGCTTTCGACATGTCAGAAGATGGCCCAGGTGAGGTCAGCAGCAGTGTAGAGAGACCCCGACCACCGCTGATAGTGCCTGAGGGCGGGGGGTAATGTGTGCAGTTTCAGGGACTGGCAGATCTCAAAACCTCACGTTGACATGAATTCCCTGCTAGGCTTTACACTGGGTTGTCAAATGGATGATTTATGAACTGTGTGAAAGGTGAGTTTCCTGTGCTCCTGCTGAGGTGATTGGAAGGAGCAAATGCTGTCTCGCACAGGGCCGGGGTGTCTTTGGGGAAGTGTATGCTCGCTCCAGCAATGCCCTTTGACAAAGGCCTCATGTGATGCCTGTGAGCGTTTGGAGAATTATGGGCCGGATGGTGCTGCAATTGTAAAACTTTTTAGCTGGTTTCTCATTTATATTTGAGTGTGCATGGACAGCAAGAGGGGCTTGACCTTTCTGGACAGTTCACTTTTCCTTTCCCTTTCCCAGGTGTGTGAATGCAGGCAAATTGCTGAAATCCTCTGGTTCTGATTATTATGCGAAAAGTACCTCAGTGCCTAACTGTTTGTGACTTTATGAGTCGTTAGTTCTCGTTACCTGGAGGGATGTAATTTACCTCTGGGTTGTGTCCTCATTCTGTTTGGTATTTTTTGTGATTGACACAGGTGATGACTAGTATACGGGTGATGCACAGAAGTAGGAGAGAATATGGATAAAACATTCAGGCTCTGAAGTCGGACATTCCTGGATTTGAACCTTGGATTTGTCACTTCCTGATTCTTGGGCAAGTTTCTTTACTTCATTAGCCTTGATTTCCTATTCTAATAAATGAGAAAAATGGTAGCAGTTGGCCTGGAGCAAAGACTGAACAACTGTATAGGATGCTACCTAAAAACCTCTTAGCAGGTGCCTGGTACAGTCTGTGCTCCAATAGCTGTCATTGGTGTCAGCTGTTACTGTTATTAGTAAGCTGCGAGTTAACATTAGATAGTGTATCAGATTCCAAGGTTATTCTAGGGTGAAATGGTGAGCTAAAACTTAGAGTTAGATCTAACATTTAGGGTTAACTGTGGCTCATTTTAGGAGTTTTCGGGTGACTGTCAGTGTGTTTCTGCTTTCAAGGAAACTGACACCATCTTCAGCTGATTAGTGGGACTGTGAGAGAAGCTCTTGAGCCACTGTAACCCTCCCCCAGGCCTGGCCCCATGGGGCAGATCATGCTGTTGGAGTTGTGCTCAGCCTTGCCTTCCATTTTTTTTTTAAGAGTAAATTTACTTATTTGAAAGAGACACAAAGAGAGAGAGAGAGAGATCTTCCATCCACTGGTTCACTCTCCAAATCCCCACAACAGCGAGGGCTGGGCAGGGCCAAAGCCAGGGGCCTGACGCTCAATCTGGCTTCCCACAAGGGTGGCGAGAACCCAAGAACGTGAGCCATCCCCTGCTGTCTCCGAGAGTGCACAGTAGTAGGAAGCAGGAATCAGAAGTGGAGTAGGGACTTGGACCCAGGCCCTCTGACGGGGATGTAGGTGTTCCGTCTGCCTGCCCTATCCTCAAGGTTTTTTTTTATTGAAGAAATTAAGCAGGAAGTCAGACTGCCTGTGTTCATTCCCAGCTCTGCCATTAGACTGGGCCTGTGGATCTGGGCTAGCTATTTACACTCCCTGTGCCTCTGCTAATCTGGGGAGCGGGAATCATGAAGCTGTGCCTATGTTGTAGGGCTGTTACGAGGATTCAGTGGGATGTCAATGTAAATCTTTGTTTCCAAAGATGTCTGGTTCATCCATGTGCTAGCGAAATGTGAGTGTTCTTGGTGCTGGCTATGATGCTGGTTCCAATCACAGTCATTTTTGGGCAGGAAACTGTTGCGGTGGGCGTTTGGCACAGTTGTTAAGATGCTTCTTGGGGTGCCTGCATCCCTTATTAGAGTGCCTGGATTCCAGTCCCAGCGCTACTTGCAAGTCCAGCTTTCTGCAAATGCTCTCCTGGGGAAGCAGTAGTGATGGCTCAGCTAGTGGGCTCCCGTCCACCCCTGTGGGAGACTGGGTCCTTGCCACCCATGTGGAAGACCTGGATTGAGTTTTAGGCTCCCGGCTTTGTCCTGGCCCAGTCCAGGCTGTTGAGGGCATTTAGGAGTGAACCAGTGGATGGAGGATCCTTATCTTCCTGTCTCTGTCTCAGTTTTTCTCTCCCTCTGTCCCCCCTGCCTTTCAAATAAAATAAAATAAAAAGAGAATCAGAACCTTGTGGGTATTCTAAAGGGATGTGAAAGGCTTACATAGGTGCTGTATTAGTACCGCAGGCAGTGTCTTGGGTCAGTGATCTCCTTTCTACACCTGATACCTCTGTCCCACACACTCCACTCCTTTGATATGGGCAGGTTCCACACTTAGGGCCCTTTTCTAAGTAGGAATGCTCAGACCTAGGGTCTTTTTGGTCTCTTTCACTTTACTTTAGAGTTGTCCGGTTCAACGCCCTCATTTTAGATTGCTCAAGGTCAAACAGAACCAGGGTCCTGAGCTAGCAATCGAAATCGGTCTGTCAAAGAGACATCCGCATTCCTATGCCTCTGCAGCGCTATTCACAGTAGCCAAGACATGGAGATAACCTCCGTGTCCACCCAGAGATGAATGGACGAAGAGAACGTGGCGCATACACACAATGGCATACCGCTCAGCCTTTCCAAGGGGAATCCTGTCATTTGCAACAACATGGGTGAACCTGGTTGACACTATGCTAAGTGAAAGAAGCCAGGAAGGCACAAACCTCATGATCTTACTCTCGTGTGAACTCTAAAAGAGTTGAACTCCTACAAGCAGAGAGTACAGTGTTTGTTATGAGAATCTGGGGGAAGCAGGACTTGGTGAGAGAAAGCGAGATGTTGGTCAGAGTGTATAGAGTTTGTTAGACAAATAGAATACATTTAAGTGATCTGTGGCACAGAATAGTGATCGTAATCAATAATCATGCATTGTATTCTTCAATATTGCAAGAAGAGTAGATCTGAATTGTTTTTACCAAAAAAACCCACTAAGGATGTAAGGTGATAGATTTATTAGCTTGATTTGATCATTTCACATTGTAAGTAGGTCTCAAAACGTCCCACTGCGCCCTGTAAGTATATAGAGAGCATTTCAGTAAGCTCTTGGAAAATGCCATTAAAAGATGCTTTTGGTTTGGTGCAAACATTTTTCGAAGGACTCTTGTTGTGGCTAAGTGTGTAAACCACAGCTTCGGATGCTGGCATCCATATTGCAGTGCTGGTTTGAGTCCCAGCTACTGCTCTTCCAATCCAGCTTCCTGCCGATGTGCTGGGGAAGGCAGTAGAAGATGGTCCAAGTACTTGGTCCCCGTGTCACCCATGCATGAGATCATGATGGAGTCCCTGGCTTCTGGCTTCGGCCTGGCCCTGCCTTGGCTGTTGTGGCTATCTGGGGAGTGGATCAATGGATGAGAGGTCTCTCTCTCTCTAATCCTGTCCTTCACATAAATAAATAAATATTTTTAAAAAGATGAATTCCTTTTGATGCAGGAAAATTTTGAAACCCAAGCATAGTTTTTTATAACACATTTTCCATGAACTTGCTGAAGACCCTACATTTGCACAGACTTCAAAAATTAACAGCTAGATCAGAAGTGGAGCAGCTGAGACTTGAACCGGTGTCCACAAGGCATACTGGCATGCCAGGTAGCAGCTTTACCCTCTACACCACAACACCAGCCCCAAACTCATCTTTAATTAGATTTTCATGAAGTTTTTGAGGTACCTTTGTATAGCTGTCATTGAAAAACTGAATGAAAGAAGAAAAACAACCTCAAAAAATTATAAAGGCAAAAGAAGATGCCAAGCCATATCCTGTGCTCTCTCCACTCAGAGCACATCTGCCCCACATCTGCTTGCTCAAATTTAAATTTAAAAATGTGAATTCTTTCAAACTCCAACTCCCAGTCCACCTCTTCTTAGAAGCCTTTCTAGATGGTTGGGATTGGTCTGCTCTCTCCCCGTCCCCACAGCACTGTAACTTGGAATGTTTCTTGTGGTACTCACCAGTCTGGGTATTAGAGTCCATCCTCTGTGCTTCTGCCTTCACATTGTTTGCCTGAAGAGTGAGGAGACAATGTTCATGTTAGGACTCCACTTGGCACATGCATCGTGCTTTGCAAACATTAGACCATCATAAAATGCTCATTGGATTTTTTAAAAAAATATTTATTTATTTGAAAGGCAGAGTTACAGAGAGGCAAAGGCAGAGGGAGGGAAAGAGACATCTTCCATCTGCTGGTTCACTCCGCAAATGGCCACAATGGACGGAGGTGGGCCAATCCAAAGCCACCAGCCAGGAGCTTCTTCCAGGTCTCCAATGTGGGTGCAGGAGCCCAAGGCCCTGGGCCACCTTCCACTGCTTTCCCAGGCCATGGCAGAGAGCTGAATCAGAAGTGGAGCAGATGGGAATCGAACCAGCACCCATATGGGATGCCAGCACTGCAGGTGGTGGCTTTATCCACTATGCCACAGCACTGGCCCCTGGGTTGGTTATTAAGTTTGTGTAATGTGGGTTCCTTATCCTAGAAGTGAGAAGGTTTGGAAGGAATAAAACCGACTCTCATGGGGTGGAAGGATAAGACTTGGCTTCATGGTTTCTGAGAGTAGAATGAGGATCAGAGGCTGGGTGTCACCAGGGCGTTGATTTGATCTGGCTGTATGGAGAGAGTTCTTTGCAATGACGGGCACTGAATGAGGAGATATGAGCCGCTTGAGAAGTGAGTGAAGAGTACTCAAACTGAGGCAAGATGGCCACTCCCAGGGATGTGGGAGGGAAGAATGCGGAACTCAGGCTGGAGATTCCCTATTTCCTAGTCGGGTCCCTCATCTCTACAGAGCTGGGTGACCTTTCACGGTTCACATGTAGTTGCAGACACAGTAGACGCATGGAATGCCTGGTATGCTACTGGGGCTAAGACAGGGCCTGGCATTGCTCAGGTGGCCTGGGTCTCCCTATGGCTCATTCTGGTTCTTGTTAGTCCAGCATGAAAGAGACTATGCTCCGTAGAAAGCCAGCCGCTTTCCCCACTTCTCTTCCCTGCCATATCCCCTCCGTCCCACTCTTGCACCCTGCTCCCAGCTGTCTGCTGCACTCAAAAGGTCAAGTTCCTGCTGAGCCAAAAGTCCCGAGTTCCAGATGAAATACTCCGAGGTGTCTCCGTAGTGAAGTCCGGAAGCCTCCCTGCGAAGCATCGTGTCTGGTGCTGTCAGTCCTTATCAGGCACTTCCGCAAAGAGCTCCCAGAGCACTGAGCCGCACAGCCATTGTCTTGTGTTTCTTCTCACTACTCCAGTTCTCAAATTATGGGTCTAGCATTCCTTTACTGTTAGGGTCCCAGATATGCAGTTCCTCAATATCCATGGAGGGATTTGTTCCAGGACCCCAGGGGTACCAAAAATCCAAGGATGCTTCAATCTTTTATATAAAAATGATTTAATATTTGCACACAGCCTATAACATCCTCCTATATACTTTATCTTTTAAAAAAGATTTATTTATTTATTTGAAAGGCAGAGTTACAGGGAGGCAGGGAGAGACAGAGATAAAGATCGATTCCCCATCTATTGGTTTACTCAATAAATGGCTGCAACAGCCAGAGCTGGACTAGACTGAAGCCAGGAGACAGGAGCTTCTTCTGGGTCTCCCACATGGGTGGCAGGGTCTCAAACACTTGGGCCATCTTCTGCTGCTTTTCCCACACTAAAGCAGGGAGGTGGATTGGAAGTGGAGCAGCCAGACACGAACCGGTGCCCAGATGGGATGCCAGCATCCCAGGCAGCTTAACCCACTGTGCTACAATGCCAGCCCTTATCATGCACTTTAAATCATTGGTAGATTACTTATGATACCTGATACAATAGAAATGCTATGTGGATAGTTGTTATTTATGGATTGTTAATAATAAAAAAAGTGTACATATTCAGTAGACGCAATTATTTTTTCCCAATATTTTCCACCTGTGATTGGTCAATCTGTAGACAATGACCCCGTGGGTATGGAGTATGAACTGTCATGCTCCTGTAAGTTTCTAGTTGACACCTTCTGTTTGCACAGACTCCTCACCAACTCCCTTGGTGTTGCCCTGAGGCCCTGGTTTTCCCAGTGAGCTTCCTTTTCAATGTTTCTTCCCAGCCTCTACATGTCAAGGCACTGATTGTGACCTCCTATGAAAGACCCTGCTCTCATGTCCATCTAGTTCTCCTTCCAACATCGTTTTGCTTCCCATCCTTGGCCTTGAGTATCTGTGTCCTGCGGACTCACTCCTCAGGTTCTTGCTCAGAGGTTAGTAGAACATCTACCACTTCTTAGCCTGACAACCCAACCGTCTCCAAAGTTTGTTCCCTTACAGCACTAAATCCTAGGCGATACCGAACTTCAGAGCAGGTTCTATTTCAAAAGTTCACTTATAAGAGACTTGTTGAGAACTCACATTTTCCCATGACAGTAATGTTCTTCATAGTGGTTGGTTGTGCCAGTGCAGTTCAGGGGAGCCCATGTAACCTGTAGGGCTAAGTGGAGGCGCTGGAGCTGTAGAATCTCTAGGAGTAATAATAGTGCTGAAGAAAATGGCCACAGGGTAAACAGTGTTTCTATGGGAGGCAGCTGCAGAGTTCCAACTTGGAATGCCAGGATCCCGTGGTCTGCACAGAGCCTGAGCACAGCCCCACCTCACATGAAAGGAAACAAGGACACCCGCTATGTATTAAAGGGTTACAGCACACCAAGCAGGTGAATTCACTGTGTGAGTTAGTTGTTTTGTCCTCACATCAACACTAGGAGGCAAGTACCGCTCTTTTCCACATTTTAAACACAAAGAAATGGAGGTTAAGAGAACAGCATTCGGTGACTGCAATGGGGATTCTAATAAAATAAAGTCTGATGAGTTCCAGGAAAACGAAAAGGATTCTGGAAGATTGCAAGGGCGAGCAGAGGCCCAGAGATGGGGCAGCAAGTTGATTAAGGATTGGGGCAGGGCTGGGAAGGTGTAGACAGGTGGCACTGGCACTGGCAGAGGCTGTTTAGCTCCGGGAAGGGAAGTTCCATGTTATGCTTGTATATCCGCTTCCCTGTGACCTTGGCAAGAGACAGTTAGGTCCGTGTGTATGGTCCTTGGAACAACGGATAACAGCCAGAGGTGGCCTTAATAAAAAAAAAATAAATGTTAAAATTTACTTATTATTTGAGATGGAGAGAGAGAGAGAACGGGAGAGAGAAATTTCCCATGTGCTGCTTCATTTCCCAAATGGCTCTGGAGAGCCAAAGCAGGGAACCAGGAACTCAATTTAGGTCTCCCATGTGGGAGGCAGGAACCCAACTACTTGGGCCATTACCGGTCACTTCCCAGAGTACACATTAGCAGGAAGCTGGAATCAGGGAGCAGAACCAGGAATCAAAGCCAAGTACTCCAGTGTGGGATGCAGGCATCTTAATCTGTGTCTTAACCACTAGGCTTAACCACCCTAGGAAGAAAAATATACGTGGCAGTGCTGGGAGTTCGGAACCCAGGAAGAGGAGATTTTTCAAGGACCTTCCTGTAGCACACACACACACATACCAATCTGTGGGTGACAGGAACTGAAATACTTAAGCCATCATTTTGCTGCCTCCTAGTGTATGCATTAACAGGAAGCTGGAATTGGAAACATAGTTGGAACTTGAACCCAGGCACTGGTGTTTCAAGTGGCATCTTAACTGCTATGCCAAATGCCTGCTCCCCTCTCCCCATATTATCTTTTTCATGTCTGCAGTGGTAGCTGCTGTTTCATTCCCAATGTTGGTGTTTTGTGCTCTTTTTTCCTCTTTTTTTTTTCTAGTCTTGCTAGAGTTTTTGATCAATTTTTAAATCTTTTTTTTTTTTAAAGATTTATTTATTTAAAAGGCAGAGATGGAGGGAGGAAAGGATGGGAGGGGAGAGAGAGAGAGAGAGAATCTTCCATCCACTGGTTCACTCTCCAAATGGCCACAATGACTGGGGCTGGGCCAGGCCAAAGCCAGAGCCCAGGAGCTTCTTCCGGTCTCCCAAGTGTATGCACTTGGTCCATCTTCTGCTGCTTTCCCAAGTGCACTAGCAGGGAGCTGGATCGGAAGTGGACAGCTTGGTCTTGAACCAGTGCCCATATGGGATGCTGGCCTGCAGGTAGAGGCTTACCCTTCTACTCCACAGCACCGGCTCCCTAAATCTTCAAACAATCAGCCTTTTCCCTCTGTTGTTTTTCTGATTTCAATTTCAACCTTTGCTCTTTTGTCATTTCCTTCCTCTGTTTTGGGTTTTTTTCTGCTCTTTTGCTCTCCTTCTCCTTCTTCTCCCCCCTTCTCTTCCTTCTCCTTGTCTTTCTCCTCCTCCTCCTTCTCCTTCAAGATTTATTTATTTGAAATGCAGAGTGGCAGAGGTAGAGAGACAGAGACAGAGAGACAGAGAGACAGAGAGACAGAGAGACAGAGGAAGAGAGGGCAATCTCTCATCTGTTGGCTCACACCCCAAATGTCTGCAACAGTCAGAGCTGGGCCAGGCTGAAGCTGGAAGCCCGAAACCCTATCTAGGTCTCCCTAGATGTCTCTGGGTGGCAGAGACTCAACTACTTGAGCTGTTATCTGCTTACTCTCAAGGGTGCATATCAGCAGGAAGCTGGAATCAAGAGTAGAGCTTGGACTTGAACACAGGCACTCTACTGGCATCTTAACAGCTTTGCCCAGACATCTGCCCTGTCTCCCACAAATTAAAAACACTATTCATTGGAGAAGCAGAGTTCACTGCAGAAATGCCCACCCTGGGCCAGACTGAGACCTAAGTCAAGAGGCTGGAACTCAATTCAGACCTCCCTCATGTGAGGCAGGAGCCCAGTTACTTGAGCCATTACTATTATTCCCAGGATCTACATTAGCCGGAAGCTGGAGTCAGGAACTGAAGCCAGACATCACACCCAGGTGACTTGATGTGGGACACGAGTACCTGAACTGGCATCTTAACTCACAGGCCAACACCTACCCCTCCTCAAAATTTTTATGCTATATTTTCATTTTCATTCAGTTCAATGTAATTTTTATTTCAGTTGAGATTTCTTTAACCCATGAGTCATTTAAGAAGTGTGTTATTTGGTGTCCTAGTGTTTGGGTATTTTCTTGTTATCTCTTTGTTTTTCATTTCCAGTTTGACCTCATTGTGGATAGAGGATGCATTCTGTATGATTTTCTCTTACATTTTCTGAGGTTCGTTTTATGGCCAGAGACAGAGCCTGTCTTAGGATACGTTCAAGGGCACTTGAAACTATGCTGTGTATTTTGCTGCTGTTGGGTCAAGTGTTCCACGAATGTTGATTAGGCCCTGTTGGTTAATGGCACTGTGAATTTTTCTACAGCCTTGCTGATTTTGGTCTACTTGTTCTGTCTGTTGTTTGGAGAGGGGTGTTGGAGTCTTTAACGCTACTTACCTTTTTCTCTTGTCAGTTCTATTGGTTTTCCTTGACATATTTTGCAGGTCTGTTGTTTGCTACACACACAGTAATGCTATGGATTATTGATTGACCTTCTAACGATGATGTGATGTCCCTTTCTGACTCTGGTACTTTCCTTGGCACTGAAGTCTACCTCTCTGATAGTAATACAGCTCTTCTGGCTTTCCTTTAACTCACGCTGGCCGGTGACAACGAAATAATGGGAGTCTGGCTGGACAATCAAAGTGGAAGTTTATTCAGCTGGTCACTCGGAGGATTTAAACCAGAAACAAGCACCCTGAGTTCTGCAAGCCAGCGCTGGGCAGGGTGGGTACATGTCCTGAATCAGATTTAAAAAATACGGATTTGTGGGTGGTTATCAGCCACATTGAGAATCGAGGGATACCTCATTGAAAATCAAAGAACACTGGCCATAGGTAGCAGACTCAATTACTGACTTAGGGGTGCGTTTATATTCCCTCACGCCATGCGTTCCATATGCAGGAAAGGCCAACAGTGGGTTCCTTCACCACTTTTTCTACAGTGGTCCTAAGATATAAAGCTCACAGCTTTTTTTTTATTTTAAAGGTTTATTTTATTTAGTTGAAAGTCACAGCTACAGAGAGAGATAGACAGAGATCTTCTGTTTGCTGGTTCACTCCCCCAGATGGCTGCAATGGCTGGGGCTGGGCCAGGTCAAATCAGGAGCCAGGAGCTTCTTCTTGGTCTCCCATGTAGGTGCAGGGGGGCCCAAGCACTTGGGCCATCATCCACTGCTTTCCCAGGCCATCAGCAGGGAGCATGATGGGAAGTGGAGCAGCTGGGACTAGAACCCTCACATATAAGGGATGCTGGCATGGGAGTCAGTGGCTTGACCAACCATGCCACAGTGCCGACCCCTCCATGATAATTTTATCATAATGACATTACAGTGATCTACAGGTCATGGGAGGGAAGTAGGACACATCTTGCAACCATATTGGATTTTTCCAGTTAGCACGGGTTCCAAGTTTCCAGTACACGGCACGGTGGGAGTGAGGTGGGTTTTGTGGTGCATGGGAAGCAGGCCTAGTCTGTGCAGAGAAAGGCAAGGGAGTTTGGATGGTGGGCAGCAGGGGAATTGTCATGCGGCCAGGCCAGGCTGTCACAGGGCCCAGCTGCAGCAGTCCCCCAGCAGGCTGGCCCTGGCTGTCCAAACTTGGATTTTCTGGAGCTGTCAATCTGTGGCCCGGCTTGGGGGCAGGCTGCTGTCAGACCTCAGCTCCTTTCCTGGCAGCTGCATTCCCACAGCACACCCCCCACCCCGTCTTCCATAGGGGCATGGGTCCCATTCAGAAAGGTGGGGACCCTCCAAGCACCCAAAAGCCCCACCTTCTAAAAACATCCCCTTGGGGTTGAAGCCCAAGAATTGCATTTTTGAAGGACAGTTCTGTGTTCTTAACTTTTATTGAGCTATTTTTACCTTATTTGGGGCAGGGAGAGAGAGAGAGAGAGAGACAGAATGAGAGAATCTTCCAATTGCTGCTTTACTCTCCAAATGGCCACAACGGCTGGGCCAGAATCCTGGAACTTTAACCGGGTCTCCCACATGGGTGCAGGGGCCCAAGCACTTGGGCCATCTTCCGCTGCTCTCCCAGGCCATAGCAGAGAGCTGGATAGGAAGTGGAGCAGCCAGGATTTGAATGGGCACCCATATGGGATGCTGGTGTCCCTGGTGGTGGCTTTGCCCGCTATACCACGGCATTGGCCCCATCCTAGTTGTGGTTTTAAAGATGCATTTTGGTAAGGAACACGTTTTGAAAAGGTGGAATTTATGGGGAAACAGTGAAGCTGGTAACAAGTGTATGGCACTGAGAGCCACAGGATCTCACGTAGTAGTTAGCAGCCCCAGGACTAGAACTTACTGCCCGTGGTCAGCATGTTCTGACCCACCACAGCTCTCCCACCCTCAGCACCCTTCAGAGGGCTGTTGTATTGTCCAGGGCACCTGCTGTCTCCTAAGCACGAGGACCCAGGAGTCACAGTAAAGGAGAAGGTGTCCCTTATTATCTGTCATGATTCATGGGTACAGCCAGAGTTCTGTTTTTGCTTCCTTCTGTCAATCACAGAAAGTTGTGCTTTAGAAGATTTCAAATGTTTGGCTC